ACGAGCGCGTGAAGAAGGCGGCTTTGCTCTGGGGGCTGCGGGTCCTGGTAGGCAGCCAGTCTTCTGCCCGCGTCGGGGGTGGGGGGGAGGCGCGGCCGGCACCGGGGGAGCGTTGTGGGGCGATCCTGCTCTCCGCGGACAGCGTGGGAACCGCCGGCCGGGAGCCCCAGCTGAAAGGCCGCGTCTTCTGCAGGCATCCTCTCGGCTCGCAAGATCATAGCCAGCTCCCCGGAACTGGACCTGCCCACGGTGTCCGCGCTCAGGGTAGGGGGGCGGGGGGTGGGGAAGGGGGTGGAGGCCCAGCAGAAGGGTGGCCTGATGAGCTGAGCCCCGGTGCTGGTGGCCAGCGCGGACCCCCCCGCCAGCAGCATCACGATCCCCCACCTTCCCTGGGGCAGCTCAGTGTGGCGGGAGCACCCAGGCAGGCGGACTCGGGTTCAGATCCGGACGCTGGGGTGGTTAGAAGATTAACTGACGTATTTGTGTGTGGCGGGCACCTGGCACATAGTAGGTACCCAAGAAATACTCGTTTTTCTTCATCGACTAGCTGTGTGACGTTACGGTACTCAGCTACTCTGAGCCTCAGTGTTCTCATTTATAAAGTGCAAACCACAGGAGCCACTTCCCTGAGTTATTCTGAGCATGAATGAGCGTGTGGAGAAAGAGCCTGATGAGTTAGTTGTTCCTCTTTTAATAGAAGAATGTCCCAAGTCTTCACCCCCAGCCTGGGCAGTGTGGGGGAGGATGTGTAATGAGGCAGGTGACAGGCCGTGTCCTGTGCCCAGGGAGGCTGGTGTTCCTAGCCCTGGAGGGCCCCGCTTCTCAGTTTGCAGTCCTGGAGGGGCGGTGTCCTCCAGCCAGCCCCTGGACCACAGGGAGACCATGCAGGCTGATGAGCAAGTGTCCGGGGCTGGGATAAGGCCTGACCCCGCTCTGCTTCTGGCTGTCGGGCACTACCATTTCATCTTTCCCTTCCCCACTTTCCAGCCATGGAACCTTCTTACCTGGCAGAGGGGTGCCTTGGGTGCCAGAGGAGTGGTGGGGTGGGAGACACCATTTCCTGGGTGCCATGGAGAAGCTTGTCCATGTCCCGCATCTGTGCGCACTTGCCCAGTAGCAGCGCTGGAAAACTCTGTGCCTGTGGGGGTAGGGGCAGACCCTGGGGTGACAGAGCAGGGAGTTCAGGCTGCAGCCGGCAGAGTGGGCTTGGCCGTTGAGCCACTCCTTGCGAGGGCCTGGGCCTGGTGAGGCTGCCCCTCGCTGTGAGCCGGCAGTCTCCTCCTGCAGAAGATGGGTGTGAACCTGACCCGGAGCAACAAGGAGACAGTGAGGCACAGCGACGTGCTGTTCCTGGCGGTGAAGCCGCACATCATCCCCTTCATCCTGGACGAGATCGGGGCCGACGTCCAGGCCAGGCACATCGTGGTCTCCTGTGCGGCCGGTGTCACCATCAGCTCTGTGGAGAAGGTGCCCGTCTCAGCCCTGGTGTCCCTGTGTGAGGGGAGGGGTGGGTGGCCGTGGGAGCTGTGCCCTGGCAACCCACTCGGCCCTCTTCCTTGCGCAGAAGCTGATGGCGTTCCAGCCGGCCCCCAAGGTGATTCGCTGCATGACCAACACGCCCGTAGTGGTGCGGGAGGGCGCCACGGTGTACGCCACGGGCACCCACGCCCTGGTGGAGGATGGGCGGCTGCTGGAGCAGCTCATGAGCAGCGTGGGCTTCTGCACTGAGGTGGAGGAAGACCTGATAGACGCCGTCACGGGGCTCAGCGGCAGCGGCCCTGCCTACGTAAGGCCCTCGTACACTTCCTCAGCTTCTGGGCACCCAGATGATCAGGATGGGCTGGCGGGCAGGCTCGGGCTGGGGTGCCGCCCACCTCTTGGGTGCGACTGGTGGAGGAGGCTGACCCCTGGAGCTAGTTCCAGTCATCGGGAAAAGCAGACTCTAGGGGGCGCCCTTGAGGGCCCGCGGCCGGGACTCAGTGAGTGTCTCCACAGGCGTTCATGGCCCTGGACGCGTTGGCCGACGGTGGGGTGAAGATGGGCCTGCCGCGGCGCCTGGCGGTCCGACTGGGGGCCCAGGCCTTGCTGGTCAGTATCTGCCCCCTGCGTGTTCTGGACCAGGCTGTGGGATGGGGGTTCCCGTGGGTCACTGAGCTGGGGTCAGGGGTTGGCTGGGAAGCTGGGATGGGGATAGGGGAAGAGCGGTGGGCGTGGGGAAGCCCGTCCCGAGGTGCAGCAGCATCTCTCTCCTCTAATGCCCGCTTCCTGCCGTAGGGGGCTGCCAAGATGCTGCTGGACTCGGAGCAGCATCCAGGCCAGCTCAAAGACAACGTCTGCTCCCCCGGGGGGGCCACCATCCACGCCCTGCACTTCCTAGAGAGTGGAGGCTTCCGCTCCCTGCTCATCAACGCGGTGGAGGCCTCCTGCGTCCGCACACGGTGGGTGGCTCTCCTCCTCCGCGCCGGCCCTCCACTCCCAGGCGGCCGCTGGTGTGGGCCGGGCGCCGGCCTCCACAACCTGTCGTCTTTGGTCCCGTTAGCAGTGTTGGAGTCTGTGCTCTGTTAATAACCACGATTAATTAGACTTCAGCTAAGTGTTTACAGGCCCTACTTCATCTAATTCTCGCCGCAGTTCTGACAGCTGGGATAAGCTTTGATGTATAGATGAGGAGGTTGAGGGTCAGAGAGAGGATTTTCCCAAGGTCAAGCAGGTCGGAAGTGATGGAGGCAGGATTTGACTTCAAGTCCATGGCTCCAGACCCTGTGATTTTCCACTCTCTCTCTCCCCATATGATCACAGGTACCACTTGGAGCTCTACATCTGTGTGGTAACCCATCCATGTTCTGAGAAGCTTGGGGATTACTTGGTCGGGGGTTCTGATTTTTGGTGGTGTCAAGTCAACAAGGGTTGGGCTTCTGTGGACGGGAAGCCTCGTGAAATTCTGACTGCGAGGTTGATTGCCTTCCTCCTTCAACCCCTCTGGGGCTTTGTCTGCAGAGAGCTGCAGTCCATGGCTGACCAGGAAAAGATCTCCCCAGCCGCCCTCAAGAAGACCCTCCTGGACAGAGTGAAGCTGGAGTCCCCCACAGTGTCCACGCTGACCCCCTCCGGCTCAGGGACGCTCCTCACAAGAAACCCGGCCCCGGGAGGCAAGAAGGACTAAGGCAGCCTCTGCCCTCGTCTGTGACCAGAGCCCTTGACTGAGGAACCGTGCAGGGAGAGGGCAGGCTCTGATTTTCAGTTTTCAGATCCTTGTTGTAAAATCTCCTTAAATCTGTTCAGACCAGGCAGCACTAGAGTCCTTCCTGTCCCGTGCTGGAAGACGCTCTGAAGGGGTGGTCGATGCTGGAAGCCAGGTGCAGCCTGTACGCCTCCCACTGTTGCAGGAGAGAGAGGCTCGGTAGGAAGGTCCCCCAGAGGACCCAGTGGAGCCCAGGCAGGGTCAGCTGATGCCAGGTCAGGGAGGTGAGAGGTACAAAACATGACAAGGACTTTTTCCTTTCAGTTGAAAGTAAGCAACTTAGAATTGTCATAATTAATCAGAAATGCACGAAATGAGACTATGCTTATTTTTAACTCTTGCTTCATAGCAAGTACCACTGAAAAAGTGCTCTTCAGTGCTGCTAAGTGTAGCTACTTTAATAAAGTTTTATTTTTTATTATCCTGCTTTTCTTAGACTTCATCTTAAGTCATCATTCTAGAGAACTCGAGGCCCTTACCAGGTGGTCCCTGCTTCTGTGGGGAGCACTGTCTAAGGGCACGAAGTAGGGATGAGAGGAACTAAGGGTGCAGGCCCGAGAGCTGTAATGACGCTCTGCTCCAGCCCGGCCCCCAGGATCAGGCTCAGGAGGTTGTGTCCTAGGATGGGCCGACGCTCGTGGCAGAGGAGAGCCAAGTGGCCTGGGTGGGGGGAGGCAGGAGCCCAGACACGGGAGGAAGCTGCCTGCTTTGTGGGCCCAGGCACCTGGCTAAGCGTTGGCTCCTCCAGCCGCCCCCTGAGGGAGGAGCTGTTCTCTTCCTCACGTTCTAGAAGATGCTGAGGCCTAGACGGGGTAAGCTGTGACCCCAGGTGAGCTGTGGTCAGTGGTGGGGCCGTCCCTGTTCTTAGCCACTGGCTCTGCTGCCTCCCAGAAGCCAAGGCTGGGTGTGCCGTCCACACGGCTGCACTGGGCCTGCGGTTTCCGCGTGGGGGCTGCTGTGCCCGGCGCTTCTCCCCTGGAGCTCGCTGCCTGTGGCATTGGCATCAGCGTCAGCGCTGAGTTCAAATCTCAGTTTCTACCACTTTCAACTCAGCGACCTTGGAGAACTTACTAGATGTCTCTGACCTCAAGGTTTCATCCCCATCCATAAATGTGGAGGTCATGCTTCCTCAAAAGGTGCTGGTGGGTATGACACGGGACCTTGTGGAATTGCTCAACAGAACGTAGAACGTGGTGGAACCACCCTCCTGCAAGTGGTGCTCGTCCTTCACCCTCCTGCAGCCCTGGCTCCAACTCCAACCCTGAGGGCCCGTGGGGAAGGCTCTTCCCATGGGGCCAAAGTGACAAGTTCCACAATACCAAGAGCTGTCATTTTTAAGCCCCATTATATGGTAAGCCCTTTGCAAACTCTTTACATAAAATCTCATGGCCTGAGGACCTGGGTATAACTAAGAGTAAGGTAATGCTCAAAGAGGTTAAAGAAGTTGCTCTAAAAGATTTGATTAGACATTTCACCAAAGAAGATACACAAATGGCAAATGAGGATGTGAAAAGATGCTCAACATCATTAGATATTAAGGAAATGCAAGTCAAAATCCAATGAGATACCACTTCTACCCACTAATGTGGCTTTTTAGTAAAAAAAAAAAAAATGTTGGAGGCCAGCCCTGTGGCATAGTGATTAAGTTCATACACTCCACTTCAGCGGCCCAGGTTTGCAGATTCAGATCCCGGGCACAGACCTACACCACTTGTCAGCCATGCTGAGGCAGTGACTCACATACGAAAAAAAAAATAGAGGAAGGTTGGCATAGATGTTAGGGCAAATCTTCCTCACCAAAAATAAATAAATAAATAAAAATGTTGGCAAGGATGTGGAGAAATTAGAACCCTCATGTGGTGCTGGTGGGGATGTAAAATGGTGCAGCCACTTTGGAAAACAGCCTGGCAGTTCCTCAAAATGTTAAACAGAGTTACCATATGACCCAGCAGTTCCACTCCGAGGTATCTACCCAGGAGAAATAAAAATGTGTCCACACGAATCCTGCATGTGAACGTTCATGGCAGCATATTCATAATAGTCAAGTAGTGGAAACAACCCAAGTGTCCATCTGTTGGTTAATGGGTAAACAAAATGTGTCACACCCACACGATGGAATATTATCAGGCAGCAAAAAGGAAGTACTGACACATGCTACAACATGATGAACCTCAAAAATATAAGTGAAAGCCAGTCACAAAAGGCTACAAATTATGAATCCATTTATATGAAATGTCCAGAAAATACGAATCCACAGAGACAGAGACTGGTTGCCAGGGGCTGGGGTGGGAGTGGGAAGAGCGCGAGGTTTCTGTTTAGAGTGGTGGAAATGGTTGAAAATAAGGTTGGGGTGATGGCTGCACAACTGTACATACAGTCGTTGAATTGTATACTTAAAGTGGGTGGATTTTATGATGTGTAAATTACAGTTCATAAAGCTTTTAAAAAAACGGAAATAAGTTGCCCACCTTTCCATTAGCCAGTAGTACCAGGAGTCAAGTCCACATCCGATACCCAATCTGTCCTCTCTGCACTAGGCTGGCTGGCGAGCTGTCCCAGGTGACAGGAGACTGTCCCCTCCTCTCTCCCCCGCCCCTTCCCAGGCCCAAATCCACCAACACATTGACTGAGAACTTACCACCTGCCTGGCCCGGGTTTATGTCTTCGTGTGTGGGGTCCACCTGGCTCAGGTGAGCTCCCCCTTGCCCAGGACCCCTGTCCTTCCCTTCTGAGCTTCGACAGTGCGGTCAGGGCCAGACTTGCCTGGAGGTGGCTGCGCCTCCAGTCCCCAGGGAGAGGGAGAGCAGGGTCATCCCCTGGAAGACAGTTCTGGCCATCTCTCCCCAGGCCGGCCCCTCCCAGCTGCCCACCTTCTCCCAGGGCGGCCCCACCCCGGGGCTGGAGCTGCAGGCAGGCAGAGCCAGGGGCTAGCCACTCCCTGAGGTGGGCAGGGGGACCCCAGTGCGTCAGGCCCTGGACGGAGGTCCCGGAGCTCGTGTCCTGAGCCACAGGAAGGCACGCGAATGCCCCCTGCAAGCCTTTCAGCAGTAAGAGCCGGCGTGCAGGTCAGCGCAGCCTTTCCCACAGGTGGGCGCTGAGCCCTCTGTGCTGAGCGTCCGCGAGGCCTGGGTGTGCCCCCGTGGGTAAGACTCCTCGTCCTGAGTTGCATGAGGGCCGAGCACAGACGTGGACACAGAGGAGATGTGGAAATGGGGAGGCAGAGAAAAAGGCAGCAGGGAGGGGTGAGAGAGGAAGGACGGGTGCTAACCACCCCCCGCCCCGTCCTGGCTCCCTCCCTCCTCTGCCCTCGGGACCCCGGGGCAGCCGGCCTAGAGCAGCCCTCCAGCCCCGTCCCATAACTGGATCCCCCAGGACCCCAGAAAACACTTCCTTATCCTCACTTTGCTCTCCTATAAAATGGGGGCAACCCCCCTGCCCCCACTGTTCACGATAGTTACTTTGGGAAGTGGATGGAGGTCAACTTCTCACTTGATTTCTTTCTTTCTTGTTTCTTTTCCTTACACGGCTGATAGCCATAAGTAGGCGTGGTCTCCGTAGTTAAAAGATCAGAAAATGTTTCCCTGCTCCCACTGGCAGGCCAGGCGGGAACACAAACACCACCTGCTTCCAGTGTGACGATTACTAAGCAACACTCTCGGGAGGGACACCGGAGAGGCTGACTGCGCTCCCCTCACCAAGCCAGGCAGTGTAGACAGGCCTTTCTGCGCATGGAATCAAAATGCCTTATGGGCTGGTCCCGTGGCTTAGCAGTTAAGTGCTCGCTCTGCTACTGGAGGCCCGGGTTCGGATCCCGGGCACGCACCAAAGCACCGCTTGTCCGGCCATGCTGAGGCCGTGTCTCACATACAGCCACTAGAAGGATGTGCAACTATGACATACAACTATCTACTGGGGCTTTGGGGGAAAAAAAGGAGGAAAATTGGCAATAGATGTTAGCTCAGAGCCGGTCTTCCTCAGCAAAAAGAGGAGGATTAGCACGGATGTTAGCTCAGGGCTGATCTTCCTCACACACACACACACACACACACAGAAAAAAAAAAATGCCTTAAAGCCTTGACCTGTGCTTCACTTTTAGCAACAAACCAGAACACAGGCAGAAACGGATATGGTGACTGCGTGAACTCAGTGCATTTTGAAAATGAAATGCGCCTCTCTTCAAGGTCCAAGCCAGTGTGGATAGGATGCTACTTTTATGTAAGAAAGGAGGAAAATAGGAAATTGGATAAAGAAATTCTAGAAGGATATGCAAGAAACCAAGAAAAGGGGTACGTGTGGGAGGGGATGGGGGAAGTGGTAGATGGGGGCAGGGGCAGGAGTGAGACGTTTTGTTATAAACCTTTTCCCACTGTATTGATTAGGAGTCATGTGAGGGTGTAACCCACTCACAAAATACCTTTTACAAACCCTCAGGGGCTGCCGGCTGCCCTGGCCAGCCGTGCTCTACAGGATGGGTTGCCCCAGGTGGGCAGTCAGGCTCGTCTCGAGCTGTGTCCAGGGACACCCGGGCATGAGAGCGTCTTCCTCGGCAAAGGCGGGCAGACAGGTCCTCGGTGCCCCAGTCTCTTATCTCCCTCTAGACCCCTTCTGTGCCTCTAGCCCCCACGACGGGCTGGAGCCCTGCTCTGGGCTCTGGGCACCTGGGCCTCCTCCCCACTGACATCTACCACGTTGTGTGGTAATCGTCTCCTGTCTGTCTCCCCCACCAGAGTGGGTGCTCCCTGGGGAACGGGCTGGGTCATACGCCGTTCCTCTGGTCCTAGTGCACTACAGGCAATAAACACAGCTGAATGGATGAAGGAAGGAATGAATGACACCTCTTCTGCTTAAATGTCAAGTTGGGCCGTTCCTGGCTGTGCCGATGGAGGCGTCTGGTTTACTGGGGTGAAAGGCCTGGGCAGCTCCCAATTGCAGTTTAGCTAATTTCCTGCTGGCCACTCTGTCTCGGGCACCTCTATTAGTGCGCCTGAGAAATCTCTGCCTCTGGGATGAAAAACAACTGATGAGTCATCTTTGGGGGGGTGTGTGTGCGCCTCTCAGTTCCAGGTCCACCCTGAATTCTAAGATATGTGAATATTAATTAGCTGAGTTAGTAAATTTCTGGTAACAGAGCAAAGGACTGGGTTCTCATCTTCACTGGC